ATGTGCACTTATGAAGTATTACCTTTATTATTCTTGTTTTCCTACATCTTACTGTTGTAGAAGAAAGTTCTAGTTAGCTCTTCCACCAGCAAATTCAAACATCCCTTAAAAATAGCATAAGGAGAAACTAGGATATCTGATTAAGCAATGAAAGCAATGAAGTGACTTTTTTTTTGCGAAACATTGGGTTTTATTTCTGTTAAGATTAAAGGCTTTATCTAATAATGTGGCTTTGTTTTATGGCATCAGTTCAAAGTATGGCACCAACTTTTGTTCCAATAAAGCCAGAATTAGATAAATACTTCACTTCTGATTCAGCAAAGGAGCCACAGTGATGAATCATATGAAAAGATCACTAGATACTGAGAAGAGAGCTCTCTATCCACAGTGATCACTGATTTAGAAAAAAAAAAGTATTGTGAAGTGCTCTATTCCAATATGATTGCAACAAAAAGGATGAGGTTGTAGCTTTCTCAAAACTTTACTTAGTGGTGTTGGCTGGTGTTTCCTGCAATGAGCCTGATGATGCGGGAGAGCACAGGAAGTCTTTAAACTAGTCAGTGAGAATTCAGATAGGAAAGCATAGACACACATTAGATAAAAGATTCAAACACTTGTGTTATTCTGTTGTGAAGTTAACCTGTGTACACCCAAATCAGAGGGTTTCTCTTGTGCTACTAACAGAAGACTTTTAGTGAAAGGGAGCTGTTTCTCTTCTCTTCCACCCACCCCCCTCCCCTCTTCCCTAAATGCTAGCTGGAGGGAAGTAGTGAACTGAAACTTCGTTTGAGGTTAGGAGGCTGCTGGGGTGTGTTACTGTAGTTATGTTAGCTTCAAGTCACGTATCTAAGATATTGATGAACTGCAAATTGAAATTAAGGTAGCTACTGATTCACATAAGAAAACATCTAGAGTAATGTGAAAAAGCTGATGCAGAAAGGTAGGGGTTTTTTGCAAGCTTTGAATACAAGCCATAACCTGTGGTCAAACCTGGTAGGACAGTTAGAATTAGTTCCCATTGATTGAAATATTGAGGTCAGTGCTCTTGTCTTGATAAAATGACTCTAAGCTATAAATTGATAAAAGTGAACTGTCCTGGAATTACTCCAACAATAAACCTATTGTTAAACTATTTTCTTAAAAAAACATTCTGGTAGACATGTTCTGTTAGCTAATTACTCAAGATAAATACAACTTTTGTGTACTGATCTCTCAAATGTGTGGAGGGCTGCAAAATATCCAAACCAAAAGAGCCACTGATGTCGTGCTAATCATACCATACAGATCCTGATTGCTTTGGTGGACTTGCATAACCTGGAAAAGCTGTCTTGGCTGTTTAAGGTAGCTGGGGGGCGGGGGAAGACAGTGCAAGGAGGTTCAGTGCTATATGCAGTGTTGGTATACCTGGCTTGCCTCTGTTGACAGTGAAACAGTCAAGGGGCAGGTGGCATACACCTGCTTTTGTTCAATGACTTTCAAGAGAATATTTTCTAGGTGGGTCTAGGCCCCTTTATCAGCTCTTAACAGGTCCTGATGGATATGCAAGACAGCTCTTAGAAGAAAGAATTAAAAGAAAAGATTTTCTACAGACACATAGAAGAAATGGAAAATGCAATTATAAGAGCTAGAATTCCATTCTCTAAGTGTATAAGTATTCTTCAGACCAGTCATAAGACTAGAGTCAAAATACCAAAATTGGTAGCTTACTTCAAAGGCCTGTTTGAGATTACTTATCTTGGAATTAACTGTGGTCCTATACACTTGTGGGTTTTTGAAAGTCCTAGCAAAAATGAATTGCCTTAGTAATCAAAATAATATGGAAAGGAGTTCCTGATTGTAAGCTGAGTTACAACTCAGACTTAAATCTGTACTACTCAATTTGGTAAATTCTTGGGAGGTTAGAAAAAAATGTTGAAACCTCTTCTATGTGTAATTACCTAACACTGTCTGGGCTTTCAAAGGCTTTGATACTCTTGGCAGCTGACTTTTACCATCTGACTTTTTTCCTAAACTGTCTCAAAACAGTAGTTAAGGTTGCTCCTTCCATGTTGGGCTCCCCCTCAAATTTCTAGAAACAGCATAGTCTTGCTGTGCACCTGATTTTTTTTTTTTTTTTTGTCTAACCTCAGAATGAGTGAAGAGTAGTAACCTTGCTCTTCCATGAGAAAAATGGAACTTGAAGGTGAGGGGAGTGTGGTGGTGTTAAAAGGTAAATATTACCTGGTTTGCCTTTGGCATGTTTGCCACCGTGGCTGTAAAATACACTTTACTGATAGTAAATATGTCAAACTCACCCGTACCTATTAATTCAAGAACGGAGCCTGCTAACAGTATTCTTCAAGTACATGAACACAGTGAACAGGAAAGAAGCATTTAATCTGTAATATAGTTTTGACTGTTTCTTGCAGCATGTTCACAAAGCCTTCTGCTCATTACTAACCATGGCTACTTCAAATACCAGGTTCCAGTCAGATTCTCAGGTCAGCTTTTTAGACAAACTTGCTTGTAATCAAGGTATCGCCTACAGAATGTTCTGTCCTTTTTTGGCTAGGGGCATAAGACTTTAGGTAGACTAAAACTTAATTAGTACAAATTGATCAAGTTTTAATGCAGAGAGCAAGTACAATTGCTACAGCCTCCTGTGATTTTTTTTTTTTTGCAGGAGGCACTTGAAAGTATGGGTCTTCTAATACTTGAGTATATAGGAAAGGAAATACTCAACTCAGTGCTAAAAGACCGTATTGCTGTCAAAAGCTGTAGTGACCTGGAGGACTGGTGATACTTGAGTAAAACTTTTCTATGGGGATAAGACTACTTTAATATTTGCTCTTTCAGATAGTAAAGATATCTGTGCTATTAATTGGACCAATATCTAAAGCCATGATGATATAACTTTATGGATACTGAGTTCTGTGGGTTTTTTTAAATTAAATCCTGTTCTTGTGAAGGATTTTTCTGTGTTTTGGTCCATAAATGTGATTTGCAAACACTTATGTGAAATTCCTATCAACTGAGCAGATTTGATTGTTAGTGTTGTGACAAAAGCAAACAGTGCTCAGAAGAACTCTTCCTTTGAGACTTACAATACAAAATCAAGTACTGTAGTACAACAAATCAATAAAACACTGTCAGGTAGGCTTGACTCATTGTGCCTAACTATGCTGTCTCTTAATATGGCCCAAGTGTTGGTGAATTGAAACTTCTGAAGTCACCTCTAAGCTTTTGGCTTTTAAGCTCTGATGTAGTAGAACAAATTATGATACGAAGACTAGACACTGATCAGATAATCCTTAGGGACAGCTAGCTGAAAGCCATAAACTACCTTCTGCGGAGTTATTGGCTAAAGAACTAAAGTTTTCCTGATGTTTAAGGCTTGTTGCTCTGCTGTTAAGCCATTTGTTACAAGCTGACTAAAGTGTTAAATACTTTTAACGTGTTGTCTGGAACTTTTTCTGAAGTTGACTTATGCAACCTCACTGTAGACTGAAGGGGTAACATTAATGCTGTAGTTATGGTGAATGCAATGGTCACAGTGATTAGTTCTTTGCTATCTGCTACCTTACCTTGAATCATCTCACCTTAGGTCATACAGGTGCCAGAGTTGATGTTAGGGAAGTAGCTGAAGAGCAGGATCTGCTCTAGCAGCTGAGTGTTGGATGACTTTAACTGTAATACAGGCACTGTTCCAGAGAGGCACTTTTGTAATGGTTTACGCTGATGTAAATTGAACTACCATGGTCTTCTGTGTGTGTACTGGTTGCTTATGTAGTTAAGCAGCAAGCTGATTTAAGCAGCTGATCTGGCCCGTGACACTTTCCATGCGCACATGACTTTTAGTCAGTTCTGTGTCTGGTCAGTGCTCATACAGAGGGCTCATGTTGAGCTGCTAAAATAATCTTGGATGAATGTATTGTAAGATACCCCTGAGTGCTTGCCGGTTTCCAAATGCAAGTTGAAGCAAAGCTGAAAGGAAAACTGGGTATGATTTAAGGAAAAAGACACAAGTTAACCCTTAGCAACTGAATTATCTGATGTTAACCTGTTACTGCTAGTCTTCAGAACAGGGGAAGCAGGTACCTAATGTATCAACTTCTTCAGACCCTGTTGGAAACTAAAACTTGTATTAAACTATACTCCTTTTTAGCCACGGAATTATACACTTGGTAAGAGAGGTGGTGTTTGAAAATGTGGATCATGCAGGCTTGGAGAAGAACAGACATACTCTTGAGTTGCAGAAATTATACTAACTTTGCAATATGCTCTGGTCTTCTAAAATGTTTTCGGAAGGTAATGTAGTGGAATTCTTAGAGCAGCTTGTATGCTTATCTGAGGCTTTTGTTGTTGTGCTGATTGCTTTCCTTTGTGTGCTAGCTGAGAAGCATATCGCTATGTTTTGAGGAACAGTGTCTGGGGGGTGGGGCAGAACTCCAAAAACAGAACCCCCACCACTGCTCTAAAAAAGCCCCCCAAAAAGGATGGGGAGAGTTGTGGGTTCATTCAGCAAGAAAAGGGAAAAGAAACAGACAAGAAAACTTGCAGAATACCAGTGTTCTGAGAAGTTTATCAATAAACTCAAACTATGTTATTTTGTTAGCTCACTAGTAGTGAGCTACTTTGCCTAATTCCTGCAAATTCAAAATCCTGTTAGGCTGGTTCCTAACCATCCTTGATGTACTCTTGTGAAATGCTTTGAGTTCAGCTTACGCTTATCAGTGTTGTGAATTCAGTCTCTTTCCACACAACTCTTATCCTTCCCAAATCATTCAAAACAACAGCAAAAAGATGTAGTAAATGATTGACTTAAGCCAAATTTATTTAGAATAGACTCCTGGCAAACTGTAGTGAAATGAGTAACTGGCTTAGTATTGACTCAGCCTTCTGGCTTAGAGCATCCAGAAATCTGTATTTCATGGATTCAGATGTTTTTATGAGTAAATTAATCTGAAGTCAAATGAGACATTTGTGTGTAAAACTTAACTCTAATCTGTTTTGCTTTCCAGGCATCTTTTCTTACAAAGAAGCTAAATATTGGTGGGAAAAGAGTAAACCTTGCAATATGGGTATGTTTACTTTCTTGTTTTCCCTCCCTGTGCTAAATATAGAGTATTGTCCTGAAAAATTACTTAGGTTTACTAGAACTCAAGTGCCAGGCACTTCTCAATAAAGTAAAATTTCAAAGTATTTGGAATTTCTTGAAGTATGGTTTGCTTTGTCTTAAATGCTAACAAGTGTAATTCAAATGCAGGATACAGCTGGTCAAGAAAGATTTCATGCATTGGGGCCGATCTACTACAGGGATTCTAATGGCGCTATTCTAGTATATGATATAACAGATGAAGACTCTTTTCAAAAGGTACTGGACAGACTTTTACCTCTGTGCAAGATGTAAACTGATTGAAAGGTAATCTGATATGTGTATAAATGGGAATCTTCTGTTTTCAGCAATAGCAATACATGTTACATCTGTGGATTTAGACCATATAATGGGAGTATATGCCTTACTAGTATTCTTTTGAAGGCTGACTTTTTCAGCCTACTAAAGTTCTAGCAGGGTTATCCAAAGAACACCGTAGAACTAGATGTAGGAGTTGCCTGTTACAGGCTATAAACATAAACCAGTACTGTTGTGATAGTATGCAATACTGATCTCTAGTGTATAAAACAAATATCTGAAAGATATTAAGTGACATGACCTCTTACAGATCTGAGAACTCTGAAATTGCAATATATGATAGGAAACATTAGTTTCTCAGTGATAATAGATATTTGGACTTCAAATCCTCATCAAAACCTGAAATTTAATGGCTAATTCTTTTATAGCAGTATCAGTTGATCAGTCTGAGCAGGTGAGTTTTTTCCAACCCTGTGTCAAATCAATCCTAT